TTTCTATTTCCCATTTGTGGTTATTTTTTTCACAAATGCTTGGAAATTTGATCAATAATATATATGTATGGCTTCTATGCGAAGACGTCTTATATATATGTATGTCTTCTATGCGAAGATGTCTTATATATATGTATGTCTTCTATGCGAAGATGCCTTATTAGAAAGAAATAAATAACAACGACAGCCATGGCAACGCTCTAAACAGAAACGAAACGCCAACGCGCTCTCGTTTTCCAATTTCACTGGCGTCGTTGAACTTGGACCGTGCACAAGGTTTCGGAGAAAGTGAAAAGAAAATGGAAAAAGGCGACAGTAAGTGTTTCTTGTTTTCTTTACTTCGCAAGTGTCATTGACAATTATAATAAGGTGACCATTTGTAACAAAAATATTTGTTGCTTTGTCTCATATACAGTGGGTTTATGTGAGCCTATAATGAAAATTTAAAATATGTCTTTCGTAGATTAAAATGAGTTATGTGCATGCTTAAAATTTCGACAAATATAACAGACGATTATTCCAACAATTATTGCAAGAATTCTTGCAGAAACCGTTGCAATAGTCGTTTGTTTCATTGTCTCTTGGACACGCGTCTAGAAAAGGTAACTTTCTAACTTTTTCATTTCAGCCTGTGATGAAAATTTAAAATATGACACTTGTAAAAAATATGTTATGAGGATGCTAAAAATTTAATCGAGATCGGTCAATTTCAGAGAATTGCGACTTCTTGCATGAAAAGTCACGATTTTCAGAAATAAATTACTTGTAACTTCTCAGCGCATTGACCGATCTCGATGAAATTTTTAGCATACACATGACATATTTTTTACAAATGTCATATTTGAAACTTTCATTACAGGCTGAAATAAAAAAGTTAGAAAATTGCCTTTTCTAGACGCGAGTTCAAGAGACAATGAAACAGACGACTATTGCAACGGTTTCTGAAAGAATTCTTGCATTAGAATAATCGTCTGTTATATTTGTTGCAGTGAAGTTGGCCACACATGCATTCACTAACAAATTCACGCTTTTGTCTTCCGGAGTATCACCCATGTTTAGTTTCTATGTTTATATTATTATATATGTATCCATTTCTATTTCATTATATATTTTTTTTTAGATGATAAAGAGTACAAAGAGGAAGCTAAGCAACCGCAGCCGGAAATGCTGTTATAGCTGCAGCAGCAGGTACAACAACTGCGGTTGCAGACGCAGCCGCAGGAACCGCGGAAACCGCAGCCGGACCCGCTGCTGCAGCTGCAGCAGCAAATACTGGGTATACAAAAAAACATCGAAATGTTAAAACAAGGAAAACATGATGGATATATCGTAAGTCGTTTTTTTTACGTCCATGTTTGTACGATTTCTGATATTCTTTATTTATATATAATAACATAATTTTTTTTCCACAACAGACGGCACAGGCACAGCGGTCGCAGCTGTTACACTTGTACGAGCCTGATGAGCCAGATGAGCATATAGTAAGTCGTTTTTTTACGTTCCTGTTTCTACGTTACTTCCTTCTTCTATCCACTGTTTATGAATAATAACATAATATTTATTTTTCCAGTCAATCAGGTCCATAGAGCAACTGCGAATTCGTAAAATGCACAGAAAATTAAACCGGCTGCGACGGCAGAAAATGCCATTACAAGATCGCGGTCGCGGTAAAAGAACAGGAGCTATACTTAATTTAAATTATTATTAATTTATTTTATTATATTTATAAAAAAATATATAATATTTAACAAAAATTATGTTATTATCATTTATTCTCATATTCCTTTTCCTGTAGGAAATAAACGGGATTTGTGCCCAAAATACTATAATGTTTATTATTCGCCTTTTCACGTATACCCACAATCGCTCTAGTTCTCTTTCTGCCTCTCATTATCTCACATCAATCACTCTCCTCTCGTTCACACTCTTTCTCGGGACATATTATTTTGTAGGAATTCGGGGTACAATATCAGGACATATAAAAAAAATAGCTTTAGACATAAGATTTGTAGGAATATTCTTCCCTTGGTTATGTTATATTACAAGAAATGTATATATAACATTTGCCTGAAGGAGTTAGGTCATTCATATATTTCATAGGTCATGTGTATAGTATCGTATTTTATATTTTAATATAGTTATCGTAGCATCCGTGTCATTTCGGTGTATGCGAAAAGTGACGTAGCATTGCATGCCGTTAGTTGGATGCGATAACTGAGGTGGCGCTGAAATCAGTTTCTGTTCGGCCTAATTTTCGATGAAACGTTGACTGTTTTACCAACGCGGAATTCGGAGTTCGGCCTCGACGCTCGCATCACCTTAAATCAATTAAGGCGATGCTAGCGTGGAGGCCGAACTTCGAATTCCGCGTCGGTAAAACAGTCAACGTTTCATCGAAAATTAGGCCGAACAGAAACTGATTTCAACGCCACCTGAATTATCGCATCCAACTAACGTCATGCTATGCTACGTCACTTTTCGCATACACCTAAATGACACACGGATGCTACGATAGCTATATGTATTAGGTACGATGAATCAGACCAATTTTTGCGTGTCGACGGAGAAACTACAGTTTCTCGAGCGAGTTCGGCTCGCCTTTGATGTGGTGATTGCCGAGAATCGAAGCAACGTACAGGGAAAAAAGCAAGTTTAAATACCCGTGTACGTGTGAGACAATACTAACACAATCAAAATTTAAGATTGAAACCTTTTTATTTTTGAATTTTTTTTAATGACAATGTTATTAACGTATTTATGAGATTTTTCTGATTAAAACAAGATCAAACATGACATAATTTGAATTATAATTATTTATTTACTTATTTATATCTAAATAAGTAAACATAATGCAAATTATATGGTGTTTGGTCTTATTTTAATCAGAAGAACCTTACAATTACACTGATAAAAGTTTCATTTAGCAAAAATGAAAAATAAAAAAGTTATTGTTGAATTAATATTGTTTCACTCAAATGTTTTTTCTCGGGCCCTTTAATTCTCGGACCTCTTTCTCTTTTGCTATTTGTCCTTTTCTATGTTCGCCAGCATTGAAGAACTCGCTCCAGCCGTGTTGTTCTTCCAGCATCACATTTTCGTTACCTATTCATCCAATATTTGGGCCTAACGCAAAATCAGGAGAGTCCAACATAATATCACATTCTATGCTGAAAAAACATACTAACTTATCTGTCTAAAAAAATTTTAATAACTCTGGCAACATATTTATTTTTGGGGTACTTTTCATAAGTAATCAGTATTTCACCAAATTGTTCAGAATATCAATTTTTATAACATATCAAAAAATCATCGAAATCGGGAAGGACGTATGTATTTGTTCTTCAGTTTCACTAAAAAAAAAGAATAATAATAGCAACAAAAAATAATGATAGTACGTCTTGTGACACATGGGTTGAAAATCGCTATCCTAGTCGATAGAACGATACGTGAAAAAAAAATTTACGCGTAGGAGTTCATCGCCTCTTCGAGACTCGAACTTCCCATTCGCCACGATACATTGTATCGTCGTCGACGGTTCGATTGACGCACACATATTCACATACGAGCTGCGAATGAGCGCGCGGTCGAGCACAGAAAACGAACAAACTGCGCCCTACAGAAAAAACGAGGAACTAAATTTGTGGTCTGTTTTACCTTTTTGACGTCTTTCGCGAATGAACAATCAACGAAATCGTAGTTTTCAAATTACTTCTACCTGTAGACTTGTACATCATCCCTTGGGTGCTCGTTTTATTCTATCCGACCCAAAGAATATCAGTCTGGTCCCTATTTGGACAAACTATTGGCAGAAATGTTTATATTATGAATAAATCAATGCAGGTGAGTCCGTTCCGCCATTTTCTTGACCGTTGACAGACAGGAATTTCAATATTTTATAAGTTTTTGACGATTTGGATAATATAAGGACCAGACAAATATTCTTTAGAACCTCCTGAACACGCCCCACAAATTTTTTTACATTCTGTTTAGAAATGAGGACGTAATTTGAAAACTCGCGTCTAGGGATTTTTCTAGGGACTGTCGGTAAAGTTTTCGACGCTTGCATCACCTTAAATCAACTTCACGCATATAAATAATTACTGATCGTCATGGTGTTAAACAAATTTTTTGTCTGTTACTGACTGTGAAAGCATTGTCAGGATTGTTAAAACTGTCAAGCCTGTTAAGATTGTTAAAGCAACACTTTGACAAAATGGAAGGGATAAATGTGAATCCATTGTTAAAACAACATATTCAAACACTTTCACAGTGTGACATTTCAAAAGAAGATTTAACCGATAGTATCGCATATTTTAAAGGTACGTATTTTAACAATAAGAGTTATATTATATATATTGTATATTTTTATAAATACACGTAGAACATATTTGTTAACATTTGCAACAAATATATAGGAATATTTCATTTCTGTTTAGATATTTTGATGAAATTTGAGTTAATTTATGTCGAATCACCAAAGAGATTTACGCGCTCTGCCAAAGAAGTTGCAGGAAAATTATTTGAAAATTTTGTTAAAATGTTGAGAGAGTACACGATGGCAGAGGAAGTGGTATATTTTTCGTCGAACGAAGAAGAGGAAGTGGAATATTTTTCGTCGAACGAAGAAGAGGAACAGAAATTGACACCGCCAACGTTGGAGGAAGAATATGTGTCACCTTGTAAAGATATTTCGTCTGCGGACAGGGGGCCCTTTGATATGAAATTGAAAATTGTCATGACCGCAAACAAACATCCCACATGGAGTTTTTATGGTCTACAGAAACGATTTAAACGTCATTTACGCCACAAATCCGATATCGCACGCTTTAGAAAATACATAATAAAAGGTGGTACATATACGGATAAAATGGAAATTATAAAAAAAAATGTCTACGATCGATTCACAGAAACACGTAGGCGGAAACAATTAGTGACAAGACGTCAATTACAGCAGTGGGCTATAGCTGCTGCGATGCAATTTCGGGATGCAGTTAACGAAGATGGAAGCATCGTGGATAACAAACTTTCTTAAAGTTTACAGAATTTCAAATCGTCGTGTTGTACGTTATGTATCGAACAAAGAAATTACATCGCCGAAAGAAATTATGAAATCTGCGATACAATTTCAAAATTTAATACAGTCAATTTCTAACGATTATGATTCTGATTATATTATTAATGCAGATCAAACTGGCTGCGAATATCGAATAAATGTTGCAAGAACATACACACATACGGGTCAAAAAACAGTTGAACTTTTCATAGGTGATTTAAATAAAATAATACATTCATACACACATTCATACATTCATAAAGTGTTTGTATGTTTGCAAGAACCGGGAGATGCATTTGGAGTCCGTGTCAAAGCAGAAGTTGACGAACTCTTAAAATTGTGTAAAAACGTTATTATCGTTTGTTCAAAGTCAGGTAAACTGACTTCAAATTTGTATAAAGAATATTTAGAAAAAGTTGTAAAACCGTATGTTGGAAACAATCCTTTTTTAATGATTGTTGACTCTTGGGGGGGGGCATAAAAATATTCATATGTATAATGAAACTTTTGTAAATAGTGAAAACAAACCAACGTGCAATGTACAAATAATACCGCCAAAGTGTACTCCGATCTGTCAACCTTACGATGTATATTTTTATAGACAAGTCAAAATTTTAATTAAACGAATTCAAAATTATTCACAAGACATTATGGCTGACAGAGAAAAGAAGGAGTTAAACACGAGATATGACGCTATAAGGATCCAATCTCTAATTCATTATTTATTATCGGCACCGCTATTTAAGAAAATGATCCAATTCGCTTGGTACGCGTCAAAGTTAGGAAATGAACGCGACATATTTTATAATGTAAATCAGTTATGTTTTCCAAGTGATATACACAACAAAAAATGTATATGTAATTTCCGCTTTTCATTTATAACTTGTTCATGGTGTACAAATTATTTATGTTTTAATTGTTTTTATGTCAAAGGGTCTAGCCGTATAGGCCTAGTGAATCGGCCCCAGCAACAATTTCGGTTGATATTTATACCACATAATGCTTTTTGCCTAAACAACAATTGTGTGCAATTTCAACCCCCTACCCCCTTTGATAAGGGAGATATGTGGGTAAAACCCCAAAACTTTACTATTTTTTTTCTCGGAAACTATTTAAGATATTTGAACACATTAAAGTGCAAATAGTAGGTATTCATTAGCTGTATTTCATATTTTTTTTCAAAATTTTTATCCGATGATTAAGGGTTGAAAATTAATAAATAAATTTTTGAAAATGATTTTTATAAACAATCCCTTGAGTGACACCCGCCGAAAAAATTAAGAATAATCCTTTACTATTTAACTATTATCTGTAAGAGTTTCAAGAGTGTCGGATTGGTACATCATAGTTAAAAAAAAATAAAACCAATGCAACGCCCTTTCATGAGGCAAAGCCAGGCTGAACGTTAGAGGCGCTCAACCTAACCGACCTATAGGGGAATGCGTTGCGCCGCGCCGCGCCGACTCGCCGCGTTTCTCATACCAGAAACAGCTCTCAGAAAAGTATGAACTCTTCTTTCCCTAAACTGTGTGTTAGTGTGTTCGTCGCTATTTTCATCAATAACTGGAATAATGTTAGTTTTATCAAATAAGTGAGTCAAAATTTATAACATAATTAACCCTTTTCAGGGCGCCCATATACTTAAAACGAGGAAGACCTTAGTTACAACTATTCACAGGTACCAGCTATAATTTAATTAAAAGTAATACGTACGTGAAAAGGTAAAGACGGAAATAGTTATAGAAGTCTATGTTCTTTACAACGTTGAATAGAATGATATTGCAGTTATACCTGTGATACTTTCTTCGATTATTAAAAGGACAACTAATGGCACCTAACATAGTCCCATTGTTCAAGACATGATATAAATCTGTGATTTAGGGCTCTCATATATTTAAAACGAGGAACGCCGTGAAAACACGGACACTGAAAGTTAAGATCTGAAAATTTAATTAAAAAATTTAAATTGTTAATATATTATTTAAATAAATAACTGTTAACTATGCGACGACAGCCGCGGATCGGCGTCGCGCATCGCGGGCCCCCACCGCGGCGGCATCCCCACTCCCAAGTAATTAGAGTATAAGTAGGACCGATCGATGCGCGGATCGATGAGTTGCCTCGGGCAGTGATGCCAGAACCGTGGGACGTGGGACAAATCTTTACCCTCTCCACGACGTCCCACGACGTCCCAGTGACTCCCCTTCCGCAGTTGTTTTATCTAACACAAGCGCGTTGTCCCACGTGTCCGTGTGAGCTCTCTGCGGGTTTGGCAGAGTTCGGCTGCTCTCGTCATTTCTACGTTATCGGCTCGATGCTCAAGCCGCTAAAGCACGAGGCTGCAGCATCGACGAATCGACAAAATAATATAATTTCGTGCATGGCAATATGGCTGAATTAAGAAACCAGGAGAATCAGTTCGAATCCCGAATTTACGGTTTCAGTTCTGATTCTTAATACATTAACGTTTTTCTAATACATAAAAATACATTTTTGATACATTAATACTATGAAATACATTAACTTGGAAAGCAGTTAAAAAAAGGAGTTGAACTGCATCTTTCTTTGATATTTTTTTTAATATTTAAGTTTTATATATATACATATGTATGTACGTACATATGATAAAAGTACGTGATACAGAAGTAATTTCTTCAATTAGATATTACTGTTATTCTAACTATTACAATACGTAAATTCGAAGACATACGAGGAAAATTGGTTAGGTTAAATTGTAAGGATATAAAGAAATTTCAATCTTTAACGGTTTGTCAGTTTTATTTCTTATTCCTTACAACTATTATAATTTTATTCTCTGAATGGTCATTACAATGAAAGATGGATTAGATACAATTTGATTCCTCATTTAATTTGTTATATATGTTACGTCCCGGCGGAAAATTTGAAATTTATCCGCCTTGCGTCCCTTATCAAGCCCTTTTGGGTTACGAGATTTTCTCATGTGAGGGGCGTATGGGCGGGTGTTTCGGTTTTCCGCCAACCTTTTCATTCCTCCTCGACCTTGTACATTCTTGTCAAGCCTTTCGAGGTTACGAGAATTTCTCATGCAGGGATGTACAGGGAAGAGTTTGAGTTTAATTCCTTTCTATTTTTAACTTCCTCTATCGCTTTCTCTTCTTTACCTGCTCTACCCTGGAATCGTGTATCTCGTCAAGCTCTTTCGAGGGTTACGAGAATTCCTCATGCGAGGTACACGCGGAAAGGTCGTTTCTATTTTCTACTTTTCAATAGTTTACGTGACCCTCCTTGAAACTATCATCGCCAGCCATTGTAATAAGAAGCTAATACGCACAAAAACTCGGTTTAGCTCGAGTGAGAGAGAGAGAGAGCCGTAGCAATAACACCAGCGCTACGCAGTTAGCCAGTGCTTCGCATTTCGGGAATTTCCCTTGGTAACTGCGTAGAAACGGGAAAATCGTAATAACTCTTTTGTTAGGAACCTCTTTCTCACTCTGTTGCACAAAGCGTCAGCCGGTCCAACAAGGATCATCGCTACCTGATTGTAATAATAGTATGAGAGAGAGGATGGATGAAACAAATTTAAACAATGAAAGTAAGAATTGAGAACCCTTACGAAAGCGAACGTCGCGAACGTTCGACCGCCGTTCGAAAATCAAGGGTCGTTCGAAGCAATAAACGCTATTGTATCGGAATTCTAAGAACTGCCTAGCGATAACGGCAAATTTTGAACAAAGGAACGTTCTCGAGGAAACGTTCGCCAGATCTAGAATTGTTTAAAATTTATAAAATGCGAAATACCGAATATATCGAGGCGATAGTTTTAATGCGCGATAGATTGCATAATACGCCACGGCGTTACAACCACCGTAAGCGCGTCATCCGCTGTTAAACATATAAAATCATACTGTTTTATTGCAAATCGGGATGAATAATTCAATCACGATATACGAACGACGGTTTCCTATCAAACCCGATATTTCAATTTTAATTTATATTTCAATATCAAATCTCAAATTGCACACCAATTAAACTAATAGTTACATCTCGAATAAATGCCGTTAATTAATTATATGTATAACGAGAAATACTGCGTAGTTTCTGAAAACCGTTGAAACTATCATGGCGACGAATGAGAAAAGGAAGGAACACCAAAGAAAGGGGATGAAAGATCTTCGTCTAGCTCGCGCGTCTTAGCCAATCACCGGGCACGCGACACTTCTGAAAACGGGCTACGATTCGCCAAACCGTCCCCTCCAAGGACGATGTTCGCGCGACGGGCCCTTCGGCCGTCGATCGCGCACGAAATTTGTCACTCTTGATCGATCAATCGTAAGTACGTGATCGGGAGCCCGTGTGTCCGAGAGACAGAGTTATTCGGAAATTCGCGATATTTTCTCTGCGGTAAAGTCCTCAGCGTAGCGAGGCAGAGTGCCGTGGTAGTTAAAATAATCGGTATTCTGAATAAGGACTCACAGACGCGCACGTAAAATCTTCCTTCTACCTAAATTTTCTATCTTTTCTTTCCGATTTTAAATCGTTTGCTCGCGTAGTTCTTCGTACTAACTTCACCCCGCGTAATTATATTCGTTGTAATCGTAATTAATCGTAAATCGTTATTCGTTTGTCTCTCGTCGACGTACTCGTCCGTAATAATCCGTTTCTCGCCGCGACAAGTGCAGTGATCGACGATCTTACTGTTTCTTTGGTGTTCCAGATCATCGAGCGATTACACCAAAACTAGCAAGCGAATTACCTTGTATTTTATTGTACACCGTAACGGTAAGTCGTTTCAGTTACATTTTTCGATCACGACGTTTATTCAATTGGCAAAACGGGCGATCTGGTCCAGCCCTTCAAGGTTACGAGAATTCCTCAGGTCAGATCGTTCCACCGTACGAGGTATTGATATCATCCAATATTAAATACTATTTTCGGTTATTACAATTTCGCAATTCCAGTCTCTTTCCATCATCCGAAGGGCACCTTAGTCCAGCTCTTTCGAGAGTTACGAGAATTTCTCAGGCTGGGGTGTACCGCAGGCGGAAACCGCCAATCGTATAGTTAAATTCGGAGAGCGAAATTGTTATAATCATTTTTACGCGCCCGGTAATATACTCGTCGGTTTCAAATGTGATATCAGAGTGTTTTATATTCATATATATATATATATACCTTGTTAACTAATCTTAAATTAATTTCTAAATTATTGAACTCATAATTTTGGCAATTATCTGATTTTCATTCACGATTAAACCAGTTTCATTTAGTTAAACAGTTTCCTTTTATTTCGAACACACCTCACACGTTTCAGTTAAAACACGCCTACCAACATACCCAGATTCAAGGAGGGTCCCGTACGGGACCAAGCGCTGAACGAACCCAACGAAAGGCTAATAATTATAATCTTTTAATATCTTATCAATTTTGTCTTTCGTCTTTTAATTTGTCGAGAGCGTTAATACGCTCGAGACTGGTGGCAGCGATACCAACCATCGCGCTAAAATAGGGAAGCAGGAATTAGGGGTTGAATTCCAACCAATTAATTGAAATTTAACTACCTAAAAATCCACTCATCAATTAATTATTCTCTTTCCCTTTTTACGTTGCGCGCCGTCGCTCGCGCGCAACGTAACATATACATATCAGGTTTCTTGCAACTGTTGCACCTGGTCCACGCTTACACGATATTGCATATTTTACTTTCCTATAATACAACAAGGAAACAAAATTATAATATAGTGATTACCATAATACAATAGAAAATGTTAAGCTTGGTATAAACCTTCTTTTTTTTGTGTACTTAATCTGCAGTTACGCTTCGTTGCTTTATAATGACTGATTTTTCTTTTGAATGAAACTTCCACTAGCGTATTGATGAAATTTTTCGATTAAAACAAGATCAAACACGACGTAATTTGAATTATAGTTACTTTATATA